TCTACAATAGATGTTTTAAGACTTAAGCCGTAAGAATTTGACCAATTACAGTCGAATTCGAAGAGAATATTCGACTGTGATTCCCATTTCTTATAGTTTAAGGCTTAAAACTTTATTGTAGATCCTGGGTTATCCATAAAGCCCGTATCAGACTACCGACTCTGCAGACCGACCCGACTGTATGCATTGAAGATTGAGGTTGAAGATTGAAGATTGAAATTTGACCAATAAGGACAAAGAAATTTTAGCTCCTTTCATTTCGATTGGTCAAATTTGAATTTTTCAATCTTCAATCTCAATCTTCAATGCATAGTCTGATTCCGGCCTTACGGAATGTGTGTGCCATGACTTTATGCGTCGTCTACAATATACGAAGTAAGCTTGATTTAAGAAGTAACAGTAAGAAATTGATCAATCAGTCGATCGTGAAAAGAATAAACAACTGTGATTGATCAATTTCTTACTCTTACTTCTTAAACCAAGCTTACTACGTGTATTGTAGATGGGCCATTAACTTTGAACAGCGCCGAGTCGAAGTGCAGCGCGAAGGTAGAATCCGAGGTAGAATCCAATTTCCTTCCGCAGACAGGCAGCCGGCAGTTTTGTCGTCAACGCGGCAAAACCGTCGCTCGTGGCAACCGAGCGTGCCAATTGCCGTTATGACGTGACTTTCGCGCTCGTCATTTGCATTTTCCAATCACGTGGTATTTCGCTAGCCTGTACGTCATCCAGAGTTACCGTCGGATAAAGGCGAGCGCACAATAAGCGGAAGATCCGCCGCGATCGGATTTCCTCCGCAAAGGTAATTCGATATAAAAGTTTACTTGACGCCGGGAATGCCTGAACGTGTGAAATTACGCAAGCTTAAGTCGTGTACATCGTGTTTGGATTCGTGTATTACGATTCATTGTCAGAGCGTCTGACATTTGTAAGAAAACGTCAAGTGTTGAAGAAAAAATTCATTCGTGGTGTTACTCTCAGTACATCGATGATTTTTCGGTTCTCTATATTAAGTACACGCGATGGGTCGTTCGTATTTCGGGTTACTTTCGCTACTTTTACAAAAATTAAGATTCTTGCATATATCTCTAATATCTATAAAAATTGCACTAAAACTTTTCTTCTTTCTATCGCCGAATTTCAAACATATATCTATTTCATAATCTATTTAATAAATCGTTTATTGTATATTTATATTCACTTTAAGTACAAAGAATATACGTTAATTCGGCTATTAAAAAAACAGACCTAGAGGACACTACTTAATGAGATGAAAATTACAAAAGTGAGCAAATTCATTAAGTGTTGCGAATAAAATTATAAACATTCTAGTGAATTTCCTCATTTTGTAATTTTTATCTCGTTTCAAAATACTTACGTGGTCGATTTCCTAATGTTATAGCAGTTTAATATTTAGTATTCCAGTATTTCATAGAAAAGTAATGCGCAAACACGAATTATCCAATGGTGTGTTAGGGATTAAATTAATGAGTGAAGATGCGATCAGTCGTTTCCCGATAAGAATGAGAATTTCTTATTTGCACATGTGCATCTATTGCAATATATGCGGGCCTCGACCGTTAAAACGCGAGCGTGTAAAACGACCTTGCGGTTTGAAACAAAATACGTGAGACAAACAAGAAACGATCGCATACGCGAAACGACGTCCTTCCATTCGCAACAAGGAGAGGATCGTGGTATCCTTCATGTTTCCCTCGTCGCCGAACGACAACGTAATGTTCGCCGTCTCGTCCTGGGAGGCCGCTTTGAGGTACATCTTTGGTAGTCGCTCTTTTTCCGGAAACGAAGAAGGTTCGACGACCTCGGACTTTTTTTGTGGTATTTAGTGTCAGATTTAACGGCGAGGTAAGCTCAGTGATATCCGGATGAGTGAAACGAGATAAATTGAGAGTTCAAATTACGCAAAATATAAATCTTTCGACTTAAAAAATATAAAACTTACGGAAACGTTAAAGGAGTCGTGCTTCGTTTATGCTTTGGTCTTGACTCTAAAATCCTAAAATTCAGCCAATGGGGCTGCGAGTCTTAATTGGTCCTAACTGAAATCTGTATTTCATTGGCTGAATTTTAAGATTTTAGGCCGAAGCATAAACCAGGCATCAGTCGCGAAGCTCTGGTACACCAAAGGTAGCAAAGACACTCGAGTGTCTTTCTGGAAAGACACGTGAGGTTTATTTCCTGCGTCTAATTAATAATTAATGACCGAGTTCGTCGACACCTCGCGAAAGCTCGATGGCGAGTCATCCTAGCGATTTCACGCGTTTCGGAGTTGATTTCTGTGACGCACGTCTATATTTCTCAAAACGGATGGCAAAGATTTACGAGGATCGAGTATTCTTGGCAAAAAGGTCACGTGCGAGCAATTAGCATTTTATCACGATTGACGTGCGATCGACGTGTTTCCATACTTCGCGACCTGTTTAACATCGGCGCCTCGTCTACGGGGGGCGATCGATCTTCGCCCGAGAACTTACATGGAGACGTGAGATTATCGCGAATAGGTTGCGGTATTGCATGTGTCTCGTGACTCCCCCCCTCCCCCTGTAAAGAGAATATTTTTACGATATTTTTGCGGACTCGCTAATGGCCGTGGCGTCATCGGAAAGACGCCCGTTCCAGAAGCGACGTGAACGTTTTAATGCCGACCTAATTTCGCGAGATTGTCCGGTGTAGTAATAAATTGGCAGACGATTCGAGAATCAGGGGAAACGCGCCAAAATTCTCAACGCCCAATTATAGGTCTGTTTTCTGTGGCTGAACGAGTGTCACACTTTTGGAACTTGAAGTGAAGTATGTTTGATATTTGTCGAAAGCGAGAAAGAGAGTAGTAAAAGTTGTAGCGCAGTCATAAAAAATAGACCATATATTCCGTCATCGAGAATGCAGACCGAAGTGCATTTTCATAGCGATATGCTCCCCTCTGTGGAGAATATTCTTCTTTTCCATCTTCTCTGAAAATAATTTGACGAATTATTAGAATATTCAAGGCTAATCTACAATGTGCTCTTTGTGCTTTTATTTCTTGCTTTTTACTAGGATTCTGCTGTGTATTACGTTTATCTGGAATATTTATGTATTGTTTATATTAAATTTATACGAATATTTTCATGTAGACAACGTAAACATATAAATTATCATAAATTGGATAATACGACAAAGAAAGGTACGTTAATTTTATGATTGTTAATATATCTGACTTTAATATTTTGATAAATAAAAACATATAAACGAGATAGAAGTTTTATGCAATCCAGTACAACGACAAAGAACACAAACTTGGATAATCCAAAGATGGTTTACTACACTGAAATAAATGATGTTTTATCAAGAGTATCATTTTGATTGAAAATAATCTTGTTGATTTAATAACAGTATTGAAACAAATAACATTTTATTAAAACAAGAGCTCGTATTTGTGGCAAAATTGTTTTCAGTTAAAATAATGCTGTTGATGTAACGTTATTATTTTTTTCAATGTAGATAGCACGTAAAACATAGTTTACATACTTCGCACGTAAATGTAGATTATTATTTTACGCATAAATGCACAACTTTGTTTTTTACCTCTTGCTTTTTTCTCTCTTCGCGACCATTTCATCATGTTTTTTGTCATGTTTCTTATCTCTTCCAAAGTTCGTCAACTTTTATCTCGAGCGATAGAAAACGAAGAAACAGGATAAGAGAGCAAAGGACAAGAGGTAAAAAGCGATAAAGAGCAAGAAACAGAAAGCAAAGGGCATGTTGCAAATTATTTAATCTTTATGCATCAGTGAGGAAAACTGAAGATGCAAATAGATAAATTTCAGATTGAACGTAAATAAAAATAAACATAAAATAACAATAAGGGCTACGAGCCAAATTATCATGTATGTATTTGAATATTAAACAAACGTTTCGACCTTTTTATCAGGCCATCCTCAGTTTTTACACTGTTTAAAGTGGAAAGCAAAAATTAAGTTTCGGTAACAGTTACAATTTTAAATTCATAGTTACGCTGATATAAAAATATGTAGTTCGAAGATAGTCGTGATTCTTCATGTATATTGCCGCAAAAATTATAATTAATTCCTCTCTCTTGTGGTTTCATTCGTTAACTTTTACATATGCTATTGTGTCTAGTAGTCGCTATTTAATCCAGTGTTAATAAAATCGGAAAATATGAAGTCAGTCGATAGAGTATGAGAACACATACTTAAACGAGAAGGCGTAGCAAGAATATAAGTTCAATAATTAAAATAGCGAGTCAAAATAATTGAGAAGCAAAATGCGATCAGAGACCAAAAATTTAAAAGTTGTTCAGTCAGAAAATGGTGACGTTATTAGTAAATAAAAATGATCTGAGAATATTTTAGAAACTGACGTATCGCATGAGCCGATAGATAAAAACGAGATCGCTGTCACCAAAACTGTCCGAGAAACCGTAATTTCTTATCCGATCTAATCAAATGTTTATATTTTTCCTCATGTCATCCATTTCCATTTATCGTGACGCATATAGACCAGAGCGCAAACCTTTGCATAACGCATAATGCATAAGAAAATCAACCGATCAGAGACCTCCGTTTCATGGAAAGAAAGGACCGATTGATCAATTCTCTTATGCCTTATGTATTTGTGCTCCGATCTTGTATCCGTTTTTCGAGCGTCATCAAAAAGAAAGGGAAGAGAAAAATTTATAAGTAGATACTCGTTCAAACCCAAGATCACGTAAACGGGGAAATTTTTTTCTGTTGTTCTCTGAAGCAGGGTTGGTAAAAAAAAACATGTTTTAAACAGTTTAAAACATGCTAAATTGATGTTTTCAATGTTTTTTTTTATAGTACTGTTTAAAGCGTATTTGAAGCATTAAAAACATTTAAGAGAATCACAGTATGCTTTATTCTTAAAAAAAAAGACATTAGTCTTTATACCAACCCTGCCCTGAAGGGGGCAAATAGCTTTCAATTTGAGTGTAACGAGTCCAATATCTATGCTCGAAAACGCTCGCAATTTCGCTAGAAAAATATGAAAACGATATCGCCCTTATAAAAATTTAATATTAGTACTGGCCAATTAATTTCTCATTTTCTTTTAAGTATTAAAAATATTGCTAACAGTACTTTTAATACTGGAAATAAGCGATTGATCGGCCAATATTAGTATTAAATTTTTCTAAGGGCGGTATCGGGTGCTTCGTCGGTCAAGATGCTAATGTTACGTTTTTGAAATAACGTGGGGTGTGTTGGGGCGCACGTAGTGCGGAAGTAGGCGAGTGACCGATTTCGCTATTTAGGCGGGACCCGCGTGAGCGTCCCGCGCTATGCCGCGTCGCGCACGCGGCGTTTCGTCACGCGGCGCAGCAGCGGCGCGGCGGCACAGCGGAGTTGAGCAGAGTTGGATCGGAGCATAGTCGGGTAGTGGGGCGGCGTGCCGCGAGAGGGTGTCGCGCGAGAGCGAGAGACAGGTCAGGGCTGGGGCTCAGTCAGTGCGCTCGCGTGCGGTGTGTCAGTCGTGCTGCATTCGCCGATCCTCTTTTGCTGCCGCGCGCGCGCGCTGCACTCTCCTTCTTCTTTTTCTCTCTCCCTCTCCTCTCCCTCTCCCTCTCCCTCATCGTCGTACCGCGCCGCGCCGGAGGAAGTCGCGCGTTCTGCCGTACGCGGCCGAGTTCCCGGGCGCCGCTGGACTGGAGTCCGTCCGGCGGAGCGGAGCGGAGCGGAGCGCAACGAGCGCGCGTTCGCGGCGGATTACGTCGTCGGCTGGTGCACGGATAGTAACGCGACGGATGCGATGCTGACAGTACGCGCGCTTACATAATTATCCGTCGTCGATGCGCATTAGTCGGCGCGTAACGTAAAGCGACGCGAAAGAGAGAAGAAGAGGGAGAGAGAAAGAGAGCGTGCGTCCCTACGGCGGTGGTTGTCCGTTCGCTCGCGCTCCTCTTCGATTTTTACTCCGTTCTCCGTGATCACTCGGGTACGTATACGACTCACGTAAGAATCATACGTGACACGCACACATCGAAACCGACCCTTCCTTTCTTCTCCGCTTCTCGCTCTCCGCTTCCTTTATCCAGCACCGCTCTCTCGCGCTTCCTTCTCCCACCTCGCGGGACGCCTATGCACCTATCTCTCTCTTTCTCTCTTTCCGCTCCGTTCCCCTCCCTCTCCCTCCACACTCTGACAGCTTGGTCGATTCACGAATCCGCCGGGGCCCCAGATAGCTCGCGCTCTTTCCCGGGCCTCTTCAAAATAAGGCCAAAAGGTTACGTTCCTCGCGAACTTGGAAATTTCCGCTTCCCTTCCCTTCCTCCCCTTCTCCTCCACGCCCTTCGATCCCTCCCTCCCTCTCTACCTTGCTCGTCCTAGTTGTGTTTTTATTGTTTTCTCCGCTCGCTTTTGTTGACGACGGAAGGAGAACGTCGCGACATCGTCGTCGTCGTCGTTGAAACGATGACGACGATGATGACGATCACGATCGCTTCGTAAACATAAGCGAGTACGCGGAAATTTATTTTCTCCGTTTCGTCCGCGCGTGTTTCTCAGGCCTCGAGGCGTGAATGAACGAACGCGCGTGACTCCTGTCTCTCGTCGACGTACGAATTCCCGCCAGGCGCGGAGGAGGGGTGGGGAGGGGGAGGGGCACTCAATGAAATTCGATATCGCTAAAATCGTAGGGGTACTCGCGATGAACAAGGAGGTAAATCGCGTTACTTTCGAAACCGTCTCGATCGTTGTTCAGCCGAACTCGATCCTTTGCCGGTCGCGTTTGGTGGAGCTATCCTTTCTTACACGAGACATGTAAAAATCAGACTCAAATTAAATAGATGCGTTAAAGTTGCATTGACACGTAAATGATTCTGCAAACTGAGAGTTACAAGTGTAAGAAAAGAAAATCTAAAGTTTGCGATATTACTTAAGATATTTCTATAATTAATTTTTTGTTGTCCATGCAGAACATTTTTTTTTTTAATGATATTCGTTACTTATGCTTGCCCACTTTGATTTTCGCCTGCCATCTGATTCTGTTTTTGTCCTTACTTGCCTTTGTTTGTTTGTTTCTCACACACAGGTCTGGCATCAAAACATATATTGCACATTTATTTTCTATTTATTTTGAGACTGCTTAGAGAGAAAGCGAGAGAAAGCGAGAGAGAGAGAGAGAGAAAGATGAGAGCATTCGAGGGCGCAGACTGGCCTACGAGCGTAGCGGCGTTGTCGTACGGGGAAGACGTAGTAATGAATTTGTTTATATTTTTTGTATTTGCCGATGATCCTCCCGTCGATGGTCGTTTCGCTGGACGGTACCAGTTGGAGTATACAACAGCAACCGCAACACCAACTGTTGGTGGACTCGGTCGCACAGCAGCAACAGCAACAGATCGTCGCGTTGAATCAGATCGTCGCATCAAATCAGATTTCATCATCGGGAGGTGATCCGCAGCAACAGTGCCACAAAATGACTGACCAACGAGAGCAGCAGCAGCAGCAACAGCCGCAGTCCCAGTTTCAGCAGCAGCAGCAGCAACAACAGATTAAAGGCAATGAGGAACCGAGAACGAATCTAATTATTAATTACCTTCCGCAAAACATGAATGAGAAGGAGCTGTACAGTCTATTTGTCACGATTGGTCCGGTCGAATCTTGTCGAGTCATGAAGGATTATAAGGCAAGCTATGTACTTTCTATTTGAGATCTCGTACAAATAGTTTTTATATAAAACTTAATTTTACGTTTTATTTTTCAGACTGGTTACAGCTACGGCTTTGGTTTTGTCAACTACGCAAAAGCTGAGGATGCGGCGACGGCGATAAGCACATTAAATGGTCTTCAAGTGCAAAATAAACGTCTGAAGGTTTCGTTCGCTCGGCCTTCTGGAGAAGAAATTAAAGAAACAAATCTTTACGTTACGAATTTACCAAGGTAATTGTTTTTCTTGTTTGGGTTTTCGTCTTTCGATAGACGCAAGGATTATACAATTTATATACATTTACCTAGTCATATTTCTTGTTTATTTCACAATAGAATTTTTTTTTCATTTATAATTCCTTAATTTCAAGATCGAGAATTAAATACGGAAATATTATATTTAAAGACAATTTATTCTTACAGAAATATAACGGAAAGTCAAATTGATGAACTCTTCAGTAAATTCGGCAATATTGTGCAGAAGAATATTTTGAGGGATAAACTGACCGGTTTACCGAGAGGAGTAGCGTTTGTTAGGTAAGTAGATAATTATTTTTAATCGTATCTGATTTTCCCTCCTTTTAAATATTTATATATTGACTTGAAAAAGTTTACGTTTGTAAGTACCGTATTTACACACGCATGGAAAAGAGAGACTGTAACTTTAGTGATTTATAACAAATATGTCGATTTATGACACTTGCACATTTTCGTCGAGTATAAATAACACGCCGGTATTGAAGATTGGAACAAATTCAAAACAGCTGCTCGCGACAATCATACTATATCGTTACACAACGACGATCGTGCATATATTCGTATGCGCGTACTTATTTTGCGATAGTTTCCTGCCAAAGTATTTTTGTGTACAGCTCCTGGTTTTAGTTGCACAATTCTGATATGCTCCCTTTAGTTTGGCCCAGATAACTGCAAAACGTGAATAAAACTAGAGATAGCAGAATTGTGGGAAATAGGTTGTTGGAAATAGTTATTGCAATCTATGCCAACAGCTGGGAATCTTGCTAAATGCCTCTTGGTTATCCTATTTCGATTTTATTAAGCTTAAAAATAAATAACAGAAATTTGTGCTATGTAAAATATGTTTAAAATCGTAAGAATTTCTCACTTCAACTTACACACTTCAAATTATCACCTTTCTCTGATAATGAGATATTTAATACATTCGCGATTGTTTTATCTAAAACTTGATTGAACTCAAAATTGCTTTCTAATTTGTCCCGGTATAGATTCGATAAGAGGGAGGAAGCCCAGGAGGCTATCGCACAACTTCACGGTACAATACCGGAGGGTGGATCAGAGCCCCTTAGCGTAAAAATCGCGGAGGAACACGGCAAACAAAAAGCGGCGTATTATGCGGGCTGGCAGGCGGGATACAATCAAAGCCGCGGTAAGTAATTTTATATCTTGCGAGACCGCTGCATTACTAGATTTTATCTCATAGCTTGGCAGTGGTAATCGATAAATTAAGCGAATTTCTTATGCGCGATTGTTCTCGTTGGAATTCAGAGCTCTCTCGAACAAATAAAAACAGAATTAGCACTGCCTGGTGAAGCTTGCATTTTTTGGCTTCAAACACTTCTATGCTAAAATATATATATATATATTGCTGAAATATATGGTTAATATATATGTATATATATCATATATATATAATTTGCATCTCTATTACGGTTGTTGTAATATGCCTAGTCTATATAGGAGAGCACTAGTTGAAACTCGATGTTTATTACAATTATTTCGTTTGATCGAAAGATTATTATATATATATATCATTCTATTTGCCTGATATATGTCAAACACATTTTTTTTGATCGAGCGTATATTCGTTTTTCTCGTATCTCGATATATTTCTCAGATTTGCTATTGTAGATCATTTTTATATGGCGCAATGTGCTTCTACACACGTTACTATCACCGTGTTTTAGAGATGCCTTGCATCACACATTCAACATTTTTTTCTTTGTCTCGGATAAAGATCTTGAATTTTACCGCGTGCACATCAGCGTAGACAAATACGGTTACACGAATACGGTTGACTCTGTAGCATAGATTGCTATTTATAGATACACATTGTATTTTTTTTTCTTTTTTTTCCCTTTTGTCATACTGTTTGTCTAACGTTGAAATGTTTTGTCAGATAAGATGGCTGCATCTAAATCAGACCACCACGACTTAACGCATTAAGCACCTTTTGTGTACATAGAGAACCGAAAGGGTGTTTATATTCTGACACGTTATACACACGACTACACGTTAAAAACGCGGAGAGATCTCTTCGCATCGAACGACTGGAGACACGGTTTCCCGCGTTTCTTTACTTCTTTATACGTCTTCGTTTCGTCTTTTATTTCTGCTTTTTCAAAGCGCATGATTCGAGATACAAGAGAAAAAAAAGACTCCGTCTCGCTCGGACGGTTCCCGAGCAAAAATGAGAAAAAAAAAAGAGAAAAAACAAAGCCGCTAAAGGGCTTTTCTGTATATACGACTGAGCGGGCAAGAATGCAGTGTTTGTGATAGAAGAGTCTTGTGTGTGATCTGATGACAAGAAGTACGCGTGGTACAATTATGTACACGAGTCACGGCTAGTCAGTGACACGCGCGGCATTTGCGATATATAAACACCTTACACACCGGGAGACACTATTGCCGCACAGGGGAAAAAAAAGGAAAAAGAGATAAAATGCCGTTGATAGAAACTTTCAGTTTGGATGCTGGCTAGTTGGATCGATTATTTACGATTCGCTATCTTCTGTTATTTTTTTCTAGCTCTGCTGCTATTGTTCGTTTTTTGCTTGATACTTTGTTGTTAAAAGTACTACCGTTGCCCATGTACAATATTATATCGAGCACACAGTAGCTTCGCATTCGCCGATATTAAATATGTTCCATATGGCTGATGCTGTTTGTGCTTTAGCGCGACTAAGGCGTTGTTTAAGTTTCTTGTACGATACAATTTTGTTATATATACATATCTATATTATTTCCGAAATATATATTTTGTTTTCACAAACATGTGTATGTTCTGTCTTCCACTGGTAATTCTATTCCAGTCCTGTTTAATTTTAAGCGAATCCAAAGCAAGTTAGGCGATTTGTAAATTATGTATTGTCAAGCGTTCGATTGTTATATTTTGGCTGTTTGAAGGAAAATAGAATTATTTAATACTTCTTTCTTAAAAGAAACGAATATTTTAAGTTGAAGATTAATTTTCCAATTAGTTCTTCGTTCAGATATTAATAATTCGTTAAAAAAAAAAAAAAAAAGAGGATATGAAAGCTCGCTCGCGAAAATACAATTTGTATCTAGCGATTTGGCTGTGATTGATTGCGATTTTATGCTTTAGTAAACAATCCAAGTGCATGATGCTGTGTCCTTATCGAGCCGTTGTAACGCGCAAAAATGGAATTTATATGAAAGACCTAATCAATGACGTTTTCATTTCTATGCATGCCTCTTGACTCATGAAGGAGAGCGTCTGTACTCGACGAGGAATAAATATCAGCGCTATGCTCATTATCTATACTGAAAGGCGACAAGTGTTGTTGTTATTGTTGTCGCCGCCTTGCCGTTGAACGTTCCGAATGTCATGTACACGCACACGCGACCGTCCTTGCAGTTGTAATCAAACGAAGGCTTCGCGATTCTAATTCACAGAATTGGGATTATAGACGTAAACCTATTCGCAATGTGTTCCATCGATGTGATTTGTAATGTGCGAGGAACGTTCTCTGCTCGGCGGTATCCAAACGGTCTTAGATAGCAAATTGTTTGTTAATTGTGTGAATTGCGCTCGCCGAATCGTTTGTTATAAATTGCGTTAATTCTACGTTATGTAGTATCTCGTTTTATGCAATTAGGACGTAATTTCCAAATTAAGTCGATTTTAGCGTTTAAGTTGGCGTTGGCAAAAATATCGAAGAACATCGAGTGTATTCCAACAGAAGTGTGATGTGTAAATTTACAAGACAAACGCAGACGAAGAGTAAACTATAGTAGGACTATTTCTTAGTCTCGTTTTGGAAAGACTCGATTGATTTTTTTATTAGTAGATTGAAAATATTATATTTACTTTAGAGAAACTTTAGTTTATAAAGTTTTATAAATTATTTTCAAATTAAATCTAGGTCAACGATCTTGGCGTTTGTATTCGTAAGGCAAGAAATTTGAAGAGAGATGTGACTCTATTGAATAGAAAATCGTAATTTGTTGATATAACTTGAGCTGCAATTGTATCGAGGGTCATTATACACCAAATACCGCAATATGATTTTTGCTCAAAATAAATGACAATTATTCAACGAGTTTAAGGCTGGGTTGTTCCATTTTTCGGTAAACTTCAACTCACTGTTACTCTCTCACCTTCTTATGCTCTTACTCTTTTGTTTATCCAATAGTAAATTACCACATAGTTTATCCGAAGATGAAACAGCCGGCCCTAAGAGTTGCAACGTATATTAATCTGTTTCATAATTTTAAATCTCTGCGACTTTTATTATTCCAAACACCACGGTAGAATTGTTATCGTGCACTGCGAAGGTCGATTAATTAATACGTAATTTGAATAGATTTTGACAGCGTGTTTTTTTAAATATCCTTTTTGGATTAGATACAGCGATCCTTCATAAAATATTACACGTAATACGTACAAGAATAGTCAGTCTGACGAGATTGATCTTAACGATCTAGAAAATAACGAAATCCAAGAATAAAATTCTCAATTGTCTGCTATCTAGATAGTATTAATTCTCAACATACGAAAGAATAATGTGCGGCAGACTTTGTAGTTATAGCCACTACAGTGTAAAGTCTAGTAAAATTTGCAGATCAAATGAATAATTAATAAACATCGTTTCTTCTAGTAGGGATCAATATCTTTCTAAAGTTTAGTCAAGAAACAAATATCACACGTATGCTTCCTCAAACTGAGGATGCGTCCGACTATGTTCTCGGTGGCAGTCTCGAATGGAAAGAGCGAAATGAAATGTACATCTAAGGCAATACAACAGTTGATTTAGCTTTGACACATCTTGATCTCAAATTTTGAAAATGGTTTTAAACACAGAGGAAAGATGTAGGAACAGGTTAAAATAAAAAAATTAATTTAGTATATTTCCGAAAAAATTCGTTCTCAAAGCTTTTCGGTTATGTTTTTATCTTGATAAAATTAATTTGGAAATCGAAACGAAATTCTGATCTATATATATAAGATTAGAGAGATGAAGTTTTTGTTATAGAATCGGAGAAGACAAACGTTGTGAAAAGATATTAAAATCAATATTGAAGAGTTTCAAGTAGTTAAATCGACTTTTATAACATTTGGAGCGCATGTAATATCAGTGCTTTAATGTATCAGTTATCGGATGCAAACGAATACCAATTTACGAAGCACACGACCTTCCATCTGGTCGTATCGGCCTGCGATGCGTTGCGAAGAGTCATGCTACCGAATACATTTGGCGGTACCAATAATTAGCTAATTAATAATACACAATATTGAGAGATAGACGAGTTATCGCTCGATTTTTGTAGGATAGAACCCTGCATCGTCTCGCGGTCTCTTTAACGATTCTCGCTGTTAGACTCTTTCGTCTCTCTTGAATCTTAAACGACGCTTTAAACGATCGACCCGGCAATGAGAGAGCCGGAGAGAGGTGGATCCTAAGAGCTAGAAGTAACATGTATGTCCTTCGATCCTGACAATCGTCCATCCTCCGTGGATTTATCGCAATCTTATCAGTTGCGTGCGACAGAAGGAAATGGAATGCGATTACATTCGAGACATAACAACAATACGGGTAATTTCTCTCAGTTGGAAATTCTGTAATTGCGCGAGATTTCTTAATAATACGACCATTTATCGCCGCAGAACTATATAAAATAAGATGTCTTTACTATAATAAGAATATCGAGATATATATATATATATAGTCTTGGATCGTTATACACTTATAAAATATGTTATTATTTCAATGTCGTACATTAAATAGTTTAAGCTGTTTGGCTAATAGCTGCAAAAATAGTTAGAAAATAACTGCCTGATGTCGATCTGATTTTGTCGAAGATGCCATCCACAATCGGATTCGTATAATTTTCAATGCTTTATGTTGCGAGTAATAAATTATTTGTTCCGCGTGTCTGATCACACTCCATTTTCTTCTATCTTGTCGTAGATCGCGTTTGCGAGAGATTCGTTTCCATCCCTAACTGACGTTTATTTGACATATATAATTAATTATAAAATTAATTATATAATAATCGCGGAATAATCTTTTCTCGGAGGATTTCAAGAAGACTATTAAGACCGTATAAGAACGTTTCTCGAATCTCGATTGATTGAGTTATACCCGATGAACATGCTAATTAGGAAGTCAATAGAGAAGAATGTATAAACTTGAAGGTCGCCGATGACGTTATCAGTTAGGGGTTGAAACCTCAATCACGTAACGCGATTGAGGACACGATCCACCTTGCTCAACGTAAGATACTTAGACGCTGCTTCGCGTAAGGGCGAGCGATGTCGGAACTTTTAGGAATTTTATATTGCGAATGCGCCGGCATTTGACCCGCTTCGGTTACTGACCGATCGATCGTCGGAGAGCTGCGAGCTTCGATGGACTACATTTTTAAACGCCAATCCGCGTTCGCGGATAGTTTATACGCCGAGTGTCGTGCAGAAAGAAGAAAAAACGTGCATCAACTTCATTGTTTTGACACTTTATTTTCTCTTTGATACCTTTTTTTACGTAGTTTGACTTTTGTCGAAACTTCGTGTAAAACATGTGCGTGTTGGTGCGCTTTCTTTCTCTTTCTCTCTATTTAAATATTTGAAACATTTGATTATTAATATTTATTATTAAAAATCTCCACGTGATTTGAATGATCTTCGATGATCGATTGGTTGATGAACCGATACGCAATATGTTGCACAGCACGATTGCTGCTAGAGGATAAGAAGATCGATTAAACGTTGAAAACTTCATCTCAATAAGGTAGATAGATTAATATAATGCATCTTTCCATGCGCCATGAGAAACTTCCATCGTTTAGGGATAATCCAATTGGCGAAAGTATTGTGATATTATTTAATTCGAATAAAAAAATCTATCGACGAATGTAAAAATTATAAACGCCGACGTATAGATAATTATTTAATATAAACGTGAAAGGTTAACAACTAAATAATTTCTAATTTACGCAAGCATCAATAAAATTTAGGTCTATTATTATGTTAGAATCGATTCTTTCTTTCATTTTTTTTTTAATTTGCGACTGGATGTCCGAAATGCGAGCTCGACTTGGCGTCTAATCGAAAGATGCAATTGTAATTAGGTTAAATTTTAACTGTTAAGTAGTAAATTGTAAGGTCTAACGGATCGAAGAATGTGCGAAATGGTTAACCCCGAAGTCCAGTAGTGCTAACGATGGCTGTGATAAGGATAAGGAAATACTAACGAGAATTGCAAAAAGAAAAAAAATATACTGACGAAACAAATGGATTAGTAGCGAAGCTTCTTTTCCTCTCTTTCGATCTAATTTTTAATGCCGATAAATTAATTTCGATATAGTATTAGCCGTGTACACCGATAGATATAATTATGTCCGAAAAGTAACAGCAAAATGATACATCGAAAAAACAGCTTTTTCATAGCTTCTTCGTACTTTAATTGCGCAATATTGATTATGGCTAAGTAAATAATGGCTTAGTAAACAATACGCAGGGTGTTCACAAAATTGTCGCATTTGTCTTGGTTAAAAAATAATGAATTTGTAAAGAACTGTGAATGTTTCCTCATAGATTTCAACATAAGATATCGCTAAAGATATCGATAAAGTTACTTACCCCCTTATATATTAATAACCTTAATTCATAAATTTTTACTTTTTATTACCAAATATAATACTACAATTAATTTTTAGTGAATTGCATATTTTTTAATATTGCAAATTGTCTCTGACCGGAGAAAAACGCGACAGTTTGGGAACACTCAAAAATTTTAGAGAGGAAAAAAATTCGGCTTCTTCGACCTCGTTTGAGAACACTCGCGACATTCTCGATAATATATTCATCATATTTTTCTCTTGTTCGTTATGACATAAAAATACATATATAGTCTACGCAAACTCTGAATTAGCGAAAGTTATGGTCGTTAGGCGAGTCTAGTGTCTCGTTATAACATCAGTGTTTACAATAATGCGATACACGTACACACAGCGATTAAGTATATACATACATAAATACATAGAAACACGCAACTATGACACAATATAGTTACAAATCAATGTTCGTATCTCGTTGTACGGATATTTGTATTTAAACGTATTGAACATTAAATGTGAATTATTGTATCAACCGCCGCTTTTTGTGCTGATGATGTATAATCGATAGATCCCTCGCGCGATGTTGAATCGAATTTAAGCGCATCCAAACGCTCTCTCGACGAATCCAATTTTGCGAAAGAGTGAAAAAATAAACTATATCACACACGCACACACACAGAAATAATGGCTCTCTGTGATACTTTTGTACAAATTCGTTTCCCGCGGGGATTAACGCTAATTAAAATTAAGTGTTGAAAATCAGAGATCGCAGGCATTGTGCGCCTCGCGAATGTCTTTTTTCGCTTATCTCCGATCTCGGTGGAGTTTTTTTTATGCTCTCGACAATCGGAGTTGAAATATGACGAAGCTTCCTTCGCGAAAAAGAAAATCATCAGGACAAAAAGTAAAAGTAACACTCTGGAGGACTGACGTTTCAAAAGTGAAAATAGGAAAAGAAACACGTCGTTAATGATCCTCCGGAGACCTTCTAATCGATATCTTACATCTTTCCTATTCTCGTTGCCGCAATCGCAAGTTTCCTCACCGCGGTCGCTCATTAAATTTGATTAAAATATTAGAAACCGTCATATATCCAGTCTAAGTCATTCACACTACCCTCTTTTTTTTTTTCAAAAAAATACGCTCCTCCTTCGCCTCTCTAACATCTTCCAAAAAAGTGAGAGTGGTCCGAGAGTCAAATATATTGTAGAAACATAAGTGTCAGAAACGCATAGCTCGGAAAAATGTGCTATTTCTTTTAATAATATAAAAACCGTTCTATGGAAAAATTTATCCTAACAAATATATTAAGATATATATAATTTATGTGTAAGCAAATTTAATTAAAAAATAATGGAATATCTTTATTCCATTTAAAATGGCATTGCGTTAAAAACAGATACGGAGGAGGAACGTCGGTATCGAGACTCGCGTTTCGAGAACAGCTTTAACTATCCGCTTTCATCTTAGGCATCCTCAATTTTCCAGGAGGGAGCGGACTCGGAACCGGCAGTGGCGGCAGCGGACGGGCTCGGGGCATCGGGGGTCCACCTGGAATGGGCATGGGTATTGGCAGCGGTGGTCCGGGAATGTTGAGCCGAGCAAGTGGTTTTGGGCCGCGTGGTGGTGGGCCTCATAGCGGCAGCTTCCTGGGCGGAGGCAGCGGCAGCGGCGGCAGTGGTGGCGGTGGTCCGGGTGCCATGCGGATGGAGAAGATACACCCGCATCGATTTAATCCGATCGGAATGGGAGGCGGCGGTAGCGGCGGTTACGTGCAATCGCACTTCTGGTGACCATCGCGATGTGACAACGACGACGACGACAATGACGATAACGATGACGATGACGATGACAATGACGACCGCAACAACCGAGATACGCTTACATTCGATGCAACAATGATCGCTGGCTGAAATCCTCTCTTCTCGTTCGAAATAAAGTTCGCGAGTTTAATCGCTCGTAGCATAGCCGAGAGTTGGAGGTAGGTCAGATAGAACCAGGTTAGACCGGTTTCCTATTTACAAGATGATACTGCACGAGAAGATAGTTCGGTGTGTTAATACCAGTGTCTATAAGAGTTTTATTAATGGAGAAAAGTTAGAAATATTATGTTTTAAAAAACTGTTTTATCGTTTGTTAATGCATGTTATTCGAGAATGTTGTTTAGCATTTTAAAATATGCTGTGCATATTTTATTATTAATAATATTTTTATCGATATTGATGTTAAGAACGAGCTACCTTTTCGTGGACCGTTTTGTACTTTCGCGATGACCGCGAAAAAACTGAATAGCTTTATAAGGGACTCGAGATGCCATGCATCATTAATCTATTCAATTGTATTAACTACACGCGTTGGATCTGTTCGAAAATAATTCCGATCGAAATTGACTTTCCATTTGATTACAAGATACAGTTCGGAAATTTTTACCATTTCGGATATTAGCCATAACAGGATAATTGAGAAAAAATTGAACTGTGATCAGAATCGTTTTCGAATAAATTCCTGTTATCTCTGACAGGTATCCTGCTATTCGATTTTAACTGTCTACCTGGTTTTATTCCAATTCTTTTTATCCAGTGCACGATCGTGAAGTTCACGAGGAGATTTATATTGTTATCTAACGCTACAAATTATAACAGCTTCGTTTTTCTAATAATACGTCGAAATTTAACGCGTGTATTTATTATAAATCACATACATACATAAGGTCTGTTCTTTTTCCATTTCAAATTCTGAACCGATGTGGTTCAATAAATTGGTACAATAAATTAGAGTGCGACAGGTATAGTTGTTGCATTCTAACGTATTGCACTAGTTCAGAACTAGTTAAGAATTCTTCGAAAAAGAACCTATACTGACATTATACACGAGTAAAGTTAAATGAAACGCGATACGCACCGAATCAATCTTACAACATTAAATTCGACCTCTTTTAACATTCTCATTGGTCAAACGTTTCTCTAGCTTCACGATCGCTCGAACGTTCGTTCCAATTCGTTCCAGTCAGTGATCAGCTAATATAATTATGCAATATGATATAAAGTTTAAAAACAATACCTCATTGATAAATTATGACTATGAGGTATTGAAAGGTCCAGAAGGGTCCGTTATGCAAAAAAAAAAAGAATAAGAATTCTGTGTTGTAAATTTCATTTTTTTTATAGTTTTAACTCTTGAGACTTTACAAGACATTTAATTATAAGACAGAGTTTTATCATAGGTCGAATTTGGGGGGAAGTTTTAGGACACGCGAAAACGTTTTCCCTTCGACGCGGCGCTGGATATCGGTGGTATCCTGCGGCGAAAATTGTACATTTGTGAGATACAATTTTTTTTCCTTTTTTTTTTTATCAAATAGGGCGCTTGAAACAAAAAGATTATTTCGAGAAAATCCAATATCTGCAAAAGAATGTAAATAATTATAATCGCAATATGATAATATCATATATAATTATATATTATACGATTATATATAATCAGATATAATAATGAAAGAGTTTATCATACATGAAAGGGGACGCCATAATTAAAATTTGACAGCATTTTATTAATTAGTACTGTATTAAATTATAATTTTTATTTCGTGTTTGAAAATGTTTTTTTAATTCTCAAATTCGTTTCTCGTTCGTAGTCGCGCTTCTATTTAGGTATTGGATCTTCCGAAAAGGCATATTTATAATTATGATCTACGATCGAATTCCAAATCATTCTAGTTTGTCATGAGATCGAGAATGCATGATCCGAACGTGTGTTTTTAATTTAGATTAAGAGAATTTTAATAAAGTGCCGCATGGAAGAATAGGGTGAATGTAATTTATTTTAATATTTGAGAGCAGTATTAGAACGAGATCGCGTATTCTTTCGCAGTCCTATGGACACACCTTCGGCACACGTTGCATGATGTATTTAATTTCATCCGATGCTTCGGTAGCTTTTTACGAGATTCGTTGCTGAAAGCAACAAATAATGCTACTGAAAAGAAAGAGAGAGAGAAAGAGAGAGAGTGAGTGAGAAAAATATCACATAGAAGAACACATGAAAAAAGATATTTATGTAAAGCCGTAAACTACTTGGAATAAATACCATTAGCAACTATATATTTAGCTTTTGTTAATTTCGTTAAGTAAATATTTCAAGTTTCTATTCATTAATGTCACTTTTATTAATATTTTGTATATACATGCGGAGAGTCAATATCAAAATTTTAAGTCGCGTGTACTTAAGGTCTGTTGATTAGCGTAGAAGCTTAGCGCCGGGGTGAATCTCGAAAAGCGTTCAATTTTGAACAATTGATCACCATCGTTATCCTCGCCGCAAATGGTGTACATAGACCTCTAGGGAGACTAAGACACTATCGCGACCTTGTAGACGATGAGACTGACTTTTTATAGGGGACAGATTTTAAGCGAAGTACGTCGAAGTCGCATGTCATATTTTTAGATAAAAAGGAAAAAAAGGGAGAAATAGCGAACTGTACTTGCCCCGAACCTGCATTGCAGATTCCAAGGACAGCGCATTAATTGTTTATTACAAAAATCTGTGATTTGTACAAAGAAGAGTGAACGAGAGATATATCGGTCATCTTAGAGATGAAAAGGAAAAGGATCGTTATTTTACGTCCAAGTGAAACGGAGATAAAATCTGAAGCAATAAAGAAATAGAAGTAGAACCGATCACTCTACTGTTGGATTAAGTTAACGTTATATTTTCTAGAATAATGTGCAGAATATTAATTTGGTAACTATCCATTCTTATAAACAAAATCGTTTAATTAAATCACATTGTTGCTTTTATATTTATAGACATAATTTAGTAATGTTTTTAAAGTTACCTGAATATAATTATTATATCTCTATATTATTATTAATCTTATTCTACTATTACCATATAATTTTATCATCGGCATTAAAGCTAGGCAATATATAACTACAAATCGATCTACAGGTTAAATAGCATAATTTATTTATCACTTTAATACAGCTATTATTCTGCAATGTATGTATAAATTGTCAAGACTCGTGTAATTACAGAGAATAATCACACGCAAGAATTAAATAGCGAAATAAAGCAATATACTTGATTTATGAATTGAACAAGATATAACTAATACAGCTAAATCGTGTGAATGATACGATAACTGACATTCGTTGCAAATTTGAAGCAACATACACATTTCCACAAATGTATAAGCTCGTGCATAAGAAAAGATCGTAATAAATATCGAGATACTAATATTAACAAGGAATAATTATTAACACATTTACATGAATTGTGATGTCGCACCAATGGATGTGTACCAAAAAATTGAATAAATTACTGTCCGCTGCGAAGATTTCTTATAACGATATTTTACAAAACTTACCGTTATAGTCGACGATTATAGAAATACGACCTGGTTGAAAGGTATTACGATTAATTTAAGTTCGTATCTCTGAGGGGAAGATTGCAGGAGTGTTGAAACAATTACTGGAAAATATTTTATTAATTATACTTTATTAATAATATGTGAACAGATGTTACGCATCATAATACAAATCTTTGTTTCATCTGATATTAATTCAGTGAAAAAAATACATGCCGTGTTTCACAGAGAAAACGAAAACGAAAAATTATCGAGTGCTCTTAATACGTTAAGTGTTTCTGCAATTAAAATTTCCTATATACGTTTCGTATAGTTTCATCGATGAGTATGCCCGATCACAGTGTTGCCCTTCAAAAGGCAGCTTGCATAAAAAAAGAAGCAAAGTGCCCGATGACGAGCCGCAACGTAATCGCACGTTTGATAATATCTTCACTGCCGACACTGTTTTGCGCTATAAATGTAACTGACTTTACTAATCATAGTTGTGTCATATAATAAATATTTATGCGCGTTCCATTTACATATTATGGAAATACTCAAATTACAATCCATATTAGCGATTACAAGATAGTATCTTTTTTCCCCGTTGGTATTTATCTGATTATATTTCACCTCATAAGAATAACTTTTACTTTTAATATTTCGCAAATGACACTTATTATGTTTTTAATTTACTTCATGATTGAATATTATCTTTCAATCAGTAGATGATTAATTTTTACGCTTTTTTAAATTTATACACGAATTTAACTTATTCTAATTCTACAGTGCCTTACACTTTTCACTGTTACATTATGTGGAGCGCACTTCGATTAACATTATTGTCACAACGTGATACGCGGGGATACATATTTGGAGCAACGAGTTGCGAGCGGTGGAAGGCGCACTTTCAGACTGATGATTTCCAAGTTCGGTCGGGGAACTTTATAACGCAAACGATTCCACCCACAGGATGCTGCGGCCTAGAGATTAGCCGGCAAGCTTGTGAAAAGAGGAAACAGGAAAGGGGCGGTTAGACCAAGATATGTAAGTTTATCCTGAAGAGCGACTGCATATTCTTTTCTTCACATGATACTCGTTAAAAAATCAAATATATGCATATTTTTTAAAATAATCTTGATGTCGATAATAATTAATTTTTTTAGTCACATTGGAAAGATTACTCTAATATCTGCGATACTAAAAAAGAATAATTAATAATTCTTTGATACCGATTTGATAATTGCATTTTTCAAAGTGTAATATCGAAAGAGGAAACAAAAAGTGGTTTGTATAAATTTAATGTAATGTCTTTTTTAAATAATTTTATTTTTATTTAAACGATTCCAAAAATTATTTTGGAAAACATATATATATTTTTTTTTCAAAATTATTTAAGAAGGTATATTTTAAAAAAGGTATTTGTGAGAAGAATATTTCATAAGTTTAGGTATATTATCAGACTCAACAAATTGAAGAATTCCGGGAAACATCAAAATGGAATATCTCACCGATCGATTTTCAACAGGCGCAGCATGGATTCGTTATTCAACCTTTGACCTACACTAGCGTCTTTTTTGTACACTCTTCTCAACCGTCGGTCCCCATTGAACGAACCAAAGTTCTCCCCAGGATACACAGTGAGATGTTTTATACAAATTGCATGCATCTGTCCCGCGTGTGTTTGAAAGCACAAATCGGTCGATCGTAGAGTTTGTAGGTAAAATTATTTATGCCTCGGTTTATTAAACTTGTAAAAATTTTCTTTATGTTCCTTTATTTCCTAGCTTCCTGTTATTACCTGTTAATATTGTACCGTTATATCTTAAATACCGTTGGAATTATTAATTGTGCTGTAAGAACCTCAAGAATAAGTATAAGCTGGTCGCAAACCTTTTCCCAAGTCTACCGATAGAAGAAACCTTTTATCGTACACATTATACGTTTCATATATTTCAGTTGTTACGCGTTGTGAAAAATAAAAGAAAAATAATAATGGAAGGATGAAAAGGTTTTGCGAAGAAAAGATGTAACGCGAGTATGTAAAAAGCTTTAATATTTTATTTCGCAGTATTATGACTTAAACTATCATTATCTTTGAATACAAACGTAATGACGGATGCTGAGAAATAATACGATAAATGAAATTCTAAGAAAAAAATCGAACGAATTGAAATTAATCGTATTCTTGATTAAAAAGTTAAGATCGAGTTTCTAGAACGCTCTATTTATGCCAAAGCTCTCTTCTTAGCTCTTGAATTTACCATTATAATTTCTGATTAGAACGATGAGGGTCAGACATTCGGAGT